GAGACAGCTGTGTTTACGTGACTCTTTGTGAATTGGGAGAGTATGCTGTAAGAGAGCCAAGGATGTTGGAGCGGCTGTGCTTTACTGCGATGCCGCAATGTTCGTAGATGAGTGATCAGTAGCATGATGACCGTTCAACTGGTCTTCTCCATACCTGATCATCCTCAGGTTATTATATCTATAATAATAAAAAACCGTCATTGTCGATTGAGTCGAAGCGTTTTCAATATAGAGCAACAGGAGTACGGGTCAGAAAAAGATATGAACTTTTATACTACTTCTAAGTAATGTCTCCTATAAAGTTCTAAACAAGCTACACACACCAACTCAAATATATGATGGCGAAAAAGAGATCATAGTGTAAAATGTCTGGCAAGACACTTTACACTTAGAAGTCATTTGTCCTCTCATCCTATGTGGATCTAGCTCCGCTTCCCGTCTCTTCAGAACCGAGAAGTCGATCTGAGTGATGCTGACATTTTTCTGAGAGAGTGTCTATCAGCATCCATCGCCATCTTCATCTCCAGCACTCGCGCAAGATTGTAAGTGGAGATATGTGTGGCGAGACAGAGAGAGAGAAGAGTGGCCCAGCTGTCTAGAGTAGATGTGCTGCTATATGTCATATCTTTAAAGTTAGTGAGTATTACTTTGAGGATGATTGTCACAATGTTTGATTGCTCAGGTATACTGTGCCTGAAGTTTCTCAACATGCTAATGAGAATCTGTACATCTGTGTACACATGTAGTCGATCTGAAGGAAGGTGTGGTGAACAGCTGCAGTATTGAGTGAAATACTTCTATATCCTGTGTCATACTCCTAATGTAGCAACCTTATACAAGCTAACTCAATATCTCTATGATAGTGGCATCGTGATATACATATATTAAGCTGATAAGTAATTCTCAGATACTCACGAAAGCGTGGTGGGTCTAAGAGTACCTCAAATGTCTCTGCAACACATGAGACAAAATAAATTAAAGATATATAAGATAGTGTCTGCACAAAATTGTTAGTGAAGCAGGTCCTTACTGCTCATTCTCTCTCATGTCCATTTGTTCGAATAGCTGTCCCGGTACACAATTTTCTGGATCTTTCGTGCATCTGCGGTGGCGCGGGTCTTGTGATGCGAGGTCTCTGCGCTGACAGTCCCTGCGCATCACCAGATAGATCCGCAAGTTCTGTAAATTCAGTACGCGTTCTTGCGCGTGCGGACGAATGGTGTGCTGGACCATGAAAGACACGATGTTCTGTGAGTTATACCTTCTTCCTTTGCGTGGCGTTGTGTTCTTCTTTCTTCCATGCTACTCTCTCGGCGCTTCTCCTTTCATGCTCCTCTCTTTGCGTTCTCCATGACCTCGACTCAAGCTACCTTAGCGCGCGGCTCGCGCTCTCACTCTACCATGCCATCGAGGACAAACTGTGACCATGGGCGATGCTTTATACGAGATAGCTGTCTGGTATGAGATAAGATGACTTTCTAACAGTGAACCATCTAAAGATCAGTGTAATTGAGGACCGTAGATATATAGATGTCTATTCAAGTATCGATGTCCCCCAGTACTGATTGACACTTAGACATGTCATAAAACTCCAAAACTCCAGCGGAACAACCTATGGGCTCGTCAAGCATCCAGTGTAATATCGCAGTCCATGCGATTTCTTCGAAGCGCCTAATCCAAAATAAATTATACAGGCCTTGAGCGTGATCACGTGTCACTCAGAGAGGACCACTTTCATCAGTTTATTTATGTGATATATATACTTATAGCTCTCTTAAGGAAGCATGGTTGCGTTGCAACACAGAGTATGTAGTGAGCACAGGAGAGTGTCAAGTGTATGTGCAAATGACTAAGATCGCATACTTAGCTGTTTTACGTCGCAATTACCTTACCGGTAGCAACTAGATTTCTCACCAGCTACGTATTAAATAAAATATTATTCACGATTCAATATTCATAGTGGCTCACAAACGGCTAACAAGAGCTGCAACAGACTCATTTTTAGATAAATATAACCTATATTATCTGTGAACAAACATTGTTAATATTCTATCTTTTTCCTTCTTTTAAAATACCTTGACAAGAACTTAATTCAAAGAACTAAGTACCTTAAAAAAGCTGTTAAAAACTGTATATTTCTTCATTATAGTTCTTGCACTTGAAATGTTGTAGCGCCATAACTGTGCTCAATCAAGTGGTATATCACCACACACTTTAAAAGAGGTTCTCTAAGATTGTCATTCATGCATCTGTTTTTAGGCGGCTTATGAGTGCGTAGCCGCGTGATCTCAAGTGGTATGCGCTGAGCAATTCTTCTAGATGCTATTCTGTAGTATGAGATAAGTAAAACAAGTTGCTACAAATAGCGTATAACTTCAAAAAATAGACCATTTACATTTAAGAATATCTTGACAATTGAAGTCCATCTAAACTGAGAATTTTATCAGAGTTATTTATATAATATCGGTCATAATTAGACTAAGCACTTCGTTCTAACCGATCATAAATCAATTTCAAATCTTAATAGACATTCATTCAGACACAATCCGCTTCAACAAAGAGAAGCAAAATAAGTTCATATCTTACCAGCTATTTTCAGTATTATTAAGATGCTAAGCAACATTTTAGTTTTTTCTGATATGGTGCATAACACACGAGCTTGGTCAATTTATTGAGTTAACAGTTTATCCCTATATGTGTCCTGCTCATCATTGTGGTTCTGTGCGACTTGTTATACATTGTGTCCTGTGAGTGAGAGCGTAGCTATTCATTATACTAACAGTATAGTGATAGTCACAGACCCCAACACTTCAGGGAATGTGATTAGTACACTTATCCATAAAAACCGACTGCTGTTCTGAGTGGCTGGAGATATTAAAACCCCAACAAACAACGCTAGTGTCCCATCGTGCTCATGCTCTAATGTACCTAGCCAATGACCCACTAGTACAGATGACCACCACGAGGTCTCGGTACATCAATGATTATCGGTGATCTCAGACTTGCAATTTCCTGAGCGTTACAAACCTTACGTAGCTTAACCATGCTGCGGGGTTGTAGAAGCAGCAGGGGAACAAGACAGACAGGGCAGCAAAGATGACTGGCGAGCGACGGAGGGCAACAGAATGTATGTGCAATATGTTTGTCAAATCTAAACTAGTGTCAGCGTGGATATAAAGCCTGTGAGGGTGTCAGATATGCACTGAAATGCGTGATCGATTGCCACGCTGGGCAGTTGCATACCGGTGTTCATACACTTCCGGCGAATTCGCGAGTGGCTGACACTTGAGTTGCAGGTTCAAGAATAGTAGGGAATAGAACTTGTGAGGTGAGTCAATCTAAGGTGTGACAGTAGAGTTAGCCGGAGGCACCTTAACACCTGGGTGATTGCCAGCAGCACATACTGACAACCGGTGACCACTCAACATGCTCAACTTGAGGCAGCTATGAAGTAGAAATATAGCACAAAGCATAATAATGGACAAATGCTGCGAGAAGAACTGCTATGCAATAAAACACGCTCCCCAATTAGTCACAGCTAGGGTATGATCTATAAACAAGAACCGTGTTGTCTGGAAACTGTGTGAGCTATAATAAATGTGATGCAGGAGTCGGCAATAATGATAAAATCCTAGTCTGTAGTGTGTAGGAGACGGTAGGCAACAAGACAAACGTTGCTAATCTTAATACTGAAAGTTTATCTGATGCAGATATTATATTAGAGCAGGGATGATTACAGGAGTATAGTGCATTGCACCGATGAAATACACGTCTGCGAGACGACATCTCATCAGCACTTAGCGTGCTCCTATGCGACCTAGTGGCTGTGTCATGTACACGCAGTTCGTTAAATCATAGTGTGGGTGCTAATTTTCATTCATCACCACCTAATAACCTCGTTTCTGTAACCCACATAATATTATTAAGAGCATAGTCGTCTTGAGAGATATTTTACCTAGGAAAGAATATATGGTAGATGACAACGGAAAAGTGGCAAATAGAGAGCAGTAGTATAGAGTGAGTGGTGTCCTTCCAGTTCCCCATTTACTAGTGGTGACATGCCCACTCAGAAGGTGCAATGAGGTGGTTAGGTGAACAGGCCATGTCTTTTCATCGTGAGCTGCGGCTGATGGTGTGTGCGTAGTTACACGGGCTCGTCTACGATACAGCTAGAGTTGAGTAGGAACCTGATGGACACTACTTGATTGCGTGACTATAGTACTATCTAAGATGTGGGTTGTGTACAAGGTAGATGAGATGATGTTAATCTGCAATCGTGCGAGCACTTCCCACTGCAATATCAGTCGCTTGAAGCCAATCGCGGTGTATATAGTGGGGCCACCATGCATCTTGCGAGGGTCGTAGTGAGAGGTGGGTAGTTGTAAGTGGCTGTACCATAAGTCTCAATAGTGATGGTGGTTAGCAAGGCGGGTCGGTGTGTCTGTTATGGGACTATAGGCAGCAAATAAGATGAGCGAAGATGGAGTGTGATGTATAGGTGAGCGCCACAATTGATCATCAATGAGATGAGAGTAATGTTGGTAGTGTCGTATCAGTGATCTGATTGGTCGAGTTCTCATATATCTCGTGACAGCCACTGCCCCTTCGAGTGCAGTGGTAGGCTCACATCATCCGCAGTCTACACATGATCATAATGTACTCAATATTAACTCCAGACTGTGTGCGAGTACTCAGTCCAAGCATAGGTTACTGCAGTCGGTTGGGCGTCTCTTCATATAGATACACTAGGGGTGCTTTCCGGGTGTGTATATGGGTGTGTGTCTGGATGTGTGTCTGGGTGTGTGTCTGAGTGTGTGTCTGGGTGTTCCTGGGTTCTCGACATGTTGGTAGTGGTAGGGGGTTGGTTGTGTGTCTGGGTCTGCCTGGTAGTGTTTTGAGGTGTGTCTGGGTGTGTGTATGGATGTGTGTATGGATGTGGGTCTGGTAATGGTTTATGGGTGTGTGTCCAGGTGTGTGTCTGAGTGTGTGTCTGGGTGTACCTGGGGTCTCGATACACTGGTAGTGGTAGGGGTCGGTTGCTGTGTGTATGGGTCTGTCTGGTAGTGGTTTATGGGTGTGGGTGTGTGTCTGGGTGTGTGTCTGGGCGTATCTGGGGTCTCGACGGGCTGGTAGTGGTAGGAGTCGGTTGCTGTGTGTATGGGTCTGTCTGGTAGTGGTTTATGGGTGTGTCTGGGTGTGTGTCTGGGTGTGTCTGGGTGTGTCTGGGTGTGTGTCTGGGTGTGTCTGGGTGTGTCTGGGTGTACCTGGGGTCTCGACGCGCTGGTAGTGGTAGGGGTTGACGCACACCTCATCCTTCTTGGTGTGGAAGGCGTACTCACACAGCTCCACGGCCCGGAGCTCATGGTGGGACTGGAGGTCGGGCCAGCGCCACAGCCGGCAGTAGATGACGTGCGGCAGGCCTTTTCTGTGGGACACCTGGAGACGCCCATCCAGAGACCTGCACAGCACAGGGACAACGTTCATCACAATCCACTCCAAATCACACTTGAATAAACAGAATTAGCAAATCAGAAAGACTACCATAATTTCCTCCACAAATAACAACATCTCCTGTCTTCCTCTTTAGATCTGTATAAACTTCTGAAATATGATTCGTGCATTAGTTTGTAAAGTATTATATAATATAAAATATTTCAGTCAACAAATAAGTCTTGGAAAGGCAGGGCACATAACTCCATGTGATACACAATACAAGGCCAACAACAACATCACTTCTGATATTAAGCAAACTGAGGCCCTGTCCACACTAGTACGTATTCGAGTCATTTTCGTTGTGGATGCAGTGTTTGTCCACACTAATCCGACTGAAAACGGCTCCAGAGACAGAACGATCTGGTGCCTCCAGCTCCCACAAATTCATTTGAGTACAGATCTAATCCAGCAGTGTGTGGACGCCTGAAAACGCTGATACACTGATGTAGTTCTATGCGCTGTGAAGTAACTAATTCAGAACCAAAACGGTACGAGGTTAGAATATATGTCCATTCATATACACGGCCTATGCGTACAACTTGCAGATGTATAATCTCTAAAAAGTTTAACATGAACCATCTCCAACGTGATAGAAGCACAGAACAGACTCACCATCAGCATCAACATCCCTCTGTCACAGAAAGAACACTCATATTCCACTGAATTGTGTCCTTTACTCCGACAGAAGCTGAACCGCATCAGAGCACAATAGCAGCTGTTTTTTGAGTGCTTCGTTTATGCAAATTAGCCAAGCAGTTTTAAGTTTTGTTTCTGTAAAATGTAAACAAATCTGCTCAAAGCTGTGTGGATAGGGAAGGCTTGCAAACACAGAAACAACATGTCTAGATGCAGATAATTTCCGATACGTTGATATGGTGATACCCAGATTCGTTTCAGTGTAAACGTAGTCTGACTCTTTAAGTCATGTTAGAATGCTGAAATCATCCAAATGATTCTAGTGAAGCTCTATGACTGTGTAGCACTTCCTGTATTCCCACGACAGCACAAGGTGGAAGTGAGTGTTTTCTGTTTGAGAGAGGAACTCAGCCTAAATGTGCAGGTTTGTGTGTTAAACATGTGTGAATGAAACAAAACATGACTCCAGGTCCGTTTGTGATGAGGAAACTACATTATATATTATAGCGTGGGTCAGAAAACAGAGTGATATGGGCCCTTTAAGTTTAAGCATCACTGACACAGATACAGACTCACACAGGATCACTGTAGAGATAACAGGGATGTAACAACCCAAACATCGTGAAATATCATATCGTTACAAGGATCACAATAATACTGTGGGCCATCACAATATATCGAAGTCTTCCTTTTTAAATTATTAAAGTGCAGCAACATAGCTAAAAACTCACACAGGGAACTACATAGACCTACATAGAGCCTTTTCTCCGTTTCAGTGCCGACTATTAGTACATGAAGAAATAACTATTACAAGCACTTTTAAATGACACAACCAAAGTATTGTCAAGGCATTTTAAAAGGAAATGCAGCATATTCAAAATTCTGTTAGCCTCCTCAAAATATCACAATAAATATCGAACCGTAAGATGCATATCACGAAAGTATCATACCGAGAGGTTTAATATCGTTACATCCCTAATACCAAATGATGAACATGTCAGCACAGCTCTTCTCACAGCTCAATCACAGTCACAGTGCTTACAGTGTTCACAAGGAGGAGAATTACTAAAGTACTATTAGCTATAATAATGAAGTATTAAAAGGGCCCTGTGTAACTTTTCTGGTGGAGAGTCCAAAACCTTCTGTTCTCTGGAGATGATGTTCCACAAAATGGCAGGAAACTGAGCTATCTTCATGGAGACCAGTAAGTGATTTTGGCAATAAAAACGCCTGGAACTGAATAAATATAACATCATTATGACCGGGGCTGTAGTCTTTAGTCACTGGATTTTATTTAGGTTTTAAGGATTTATATGTATAAGAGTAGAAAGAGGAAAGCATGGAGTGAATAAGCTGAAATTTGGGAGTTTAGTCTTAGTTTTTCCCATAGCCTATAAGTACACAGTTCCCTAGTACTTTCTGTTGAAATCATTTTGTTGTACAGTTTTTGACTGACGTATGGGTCAGATACTTGGTCAGATCACTGATACTGAAAAGTTTTTTTAATAGACACAAACCGATATATTGGTTGGCTGATATATATCGGGCCGATATTCTGCATGAAGAACATGTGTATAAAGCCTCAGTCCAAAGACCAAAATGAACAAAATGGGCCCAAAACATGGGGCAGAGGTCACTGCCATCAGCTGTTCTGGATTCTAAACATAAATATAAAATTTTCATGAGAAAAGCTCCAAAAAAATGATGTGCTGCATCTTTTTAGAAGAAGCGTCTGATATACAGTAGTGACATTTGACACTGTGTATTGACTCTGGCCTGGTCCTTGTGCAGTCATGTACTGTAATACTCCAGACAGACTCATCACACTCTGCAGGAGACAGTGGGACATATGTGTTTTCTATGTGTCTATAGTTGGAGGTCAGAGGCTACACTAAATCCCTCCTGATGAACCAATGAGTGCGCCCCTGTCCAAACACATCCAGGTCACGCAGGGGTCAAGTCCCTGAGGGCAGCTCCATCTGGGACAGTCATTGAACACAGCACAACAGGCCTCTGTTTTTGACTCTTGTTTACTGTGGTGGTGAAAGAGTGAAAGGGGAGGATGCTTCAGCTCTATTTCACAGAAGTGTTCAGTGATGGAGGCCACACTGCTCTGCTACAAGAACAACTCACCCCAAAACACCATATCATGACTTACACGGCTCTGCCTTTTAAGTTTGTAAAAAATGTTTTCTAGCTGGATGAAGTGACAAAGTGTTTGGTTTGATTTTTGTCATAAAGTTCTGATTTTATAATATACAATCTGCAGATAGAAAAGCTTTAAAGAGGCATTATTACACTTCTGTGGAATATTAATTGATAACACATGATCACCATGTTCCCTTTTATTGTGTAAAAATTACTCAAACACCCACTCTGGGCACTCTTCCCTGAGAGCTCTCTTTGGGTGCTTTTCTCTGGCCGCACTCTTCTCTGGGTGTTCTCTCTGGGCGCTCTGCTCTGGGCGCTCTGCTCTGGGCGCTCTGCTCTGGGCGTGATGGCACTTCCTGTTAGCTCATGCATGTTTCCTGTGTGAGCTGATTTCATGTGAGACTCTGGAGTTTTGTTTTGAGCTTTTGAGCTTAACAGAAGAGCGGAAACTCCTTCTGTAAAGGAACTGACTCACAGGCCTCAGATGAAGTTCTGACTCACGAGGTCACGTGGCAAATATGAACACTTCCCCTTTAAGATTTCACATGACACAAAACAGCGGCGTTTACTGATTTTGCTGAGGATGTGAAAACTACAGAAGTCTGACAGAAGCACAGAACTCTCACATTTCAACTTTTACACTCAGAAATATACTTATATAGAGGGACAATAGCAATACTGCAATGATTAAAAAAACAAAACTCATCGTTTTCATCTTTAAATAATTAGTACTTTATACCACGTGTTCCACAGTGTCCATGTGTGTATACTAGTCTATGTGCTGGAACTTTTTTTTTCATATTGAAATCTAGTTTAGATGCTCCCAACTACACGAACATTCATCACATGCCTTATCTTTACATTAACCACAATCAAACCTCTTAAAATGTTCATAAATATGTAAAGATGTTGTGAATGGACATTTTTTCAAGAGGGGATATTATGCAAAATCACCTTTTTGGAGCTTTCTATCATGTTCTAACCCTGTTTCCTCACCCAAAACATGCCGAAGAGGGTTTAGATGTCATTAGATGTTTATTCAAACCCTCTTTACAGATTATTTGCAGTGCTCCGCTCACAAGCTTACATGCTCACGACAACTCTCCACACACATACATGATAAAAAAACAGTGCATATGCAGTAGTTTCATTAGCAGGATGCACAATGATTTGCTCAGAAGAAGGAATGAACGGAGAGCAAAAGGGAGGGAGACTTACCACATTAAACATGAAAGTGAAACCTCTTTAATATGTTAATACATTGTTGCTTTTTTTTGTGTGAATATAGCATTTTTACAACACTGAAAGGGAACATGATGATCTAAATCTGCTGCCCCACAGAAGTCAAATACTCCCTGTTTACATAATGTAAGTTATAATGTACATTTAGTTTATGTTCAATTGGGATTAATTTGATTTAAAAAAAAAAAGATAAAGATGTGAAAGAAGTTCATAGTGACAGGTGCTGTGATAGTGACAGGGGCTGCTGTGATAGTGACAGGTGTTGTGATAGTGGCAGGTGTTGTGATAGTGCAGGGTGCTAGTGACAATAGTGACAGGGGCTGTGATAGTGACAGGTGCTGTGTTAGTGACAGGTGTTGTGATAGTGACAGGTGCTGTGATAGTGACATGTGTTGTGATCGTGACATGTGCTGTGATAGTGACAGGGGCTGATGTGATAGTGACAGGTGCTGTGATAGTGACAGGTGTTGTGATAGTGGCAGGTGTTGTGATAGTGACAGGTGCTGTAATAGCGACAGGGGCTGTGATAGTGACAGGTGTTGTGATAGTGACAGGTGTTGTGATAGTGACAGGTGCTGTGATAGTGACAGGTGTTGTGATAGTGACATGGGCTGATGTGATAGTGACAGGTGCTGTGATAGTGACAGGGGCTGCTGTGATAGTGACAGGTGCTGTGTTAGTGACAGGGGCTGATGTGATAGTGACAGGTGCTGTGATAGTGACATGGGGCTGCTGTGATAGTGACAGGGGCTGATGTGATAGTGACAGGTGCTGTGATAGTGACAGGGGCTGATGTGATAGTGACAGGGGCTGTGATAGTGACAGGGGCTGCTGTGATAGTGACAGGTGCTGTGATAGCGACAGGTGCTGTGATAGTGACAGGTGCTGTGATAGCGACAGGTGCTGCTGTGATAGTGACAGGTGCTGTGATAGCGA